GCTCTTCGCATAGCATCTGGTTCTTTGCTTGACTGATGATTCCTGCTTGGGCATCTGGAGAAGAGGAGGTTAAGGGGTGATATGATAGCCATGTTCAAATATATAAAAGGATGTCACATAGAGGAGGGAGAAAGGCTGTTTTCTGCTGCTCCAGAGAAGCGGACACGGAGCAATGGATCCAAACTACAAGAAAGAAGATTCCACCTAAACATTAGGAAGAACTTCCTGACAGTAAGAGCTGTTCGACAGTGGAATTTGCTGCCAAGGAGTGTGGTGGAGTCTCCTTCTTTGGAGGTCTTTAAGCAGAGGCTTGACAACCATATGTCAGAAGTGCTCTGATGGTGTTTCCTGCTTGGCAGGGGTTGGACTCGATGGCCCTTGTGGTCTCTTCCAACTCTATGATTCTATGATTCTATGATTCTATGATCTTGGTATTTGAGATAGCTCTGGACAGTGGAGGCCCCAGCTAGGTCATCTGTTGCTCAGCCTTTGAGCCATCCATGAGTGTGTAAATGCATTTTCATTTTACCCTACTAAGGTCTTGTTTATGTCCCAGGAAAATGCTTTAAAACGTAGCAGCTTTATACGGATCTGTAAAATTGTATATTCTGTTCCATCTTGCAGATATCTGCATTCTCACACTCAATCTCCATTTTCTGTAGTAGCCAGTACAGTAGTACCTCGGGTTAAGAACTTAATTCGTTCTGGAGGTCTGTTCTTAACCTGAAACTGTTCTTAACCTGAAGCACCACTTTAGCTAATGGGGCTTCCTGCTGCTGCCGCGCCGCTGCATGATTTCTGTTCTCATCCTGAAGCAAAGTTCTTAACCCGAGGTACTATTTCTGGGTTAGCGGAGTCTGTAACCTGAAGTGTATGTAACCTGAACCTATGTAACCCGAGGTACCACTGTATTCACAATGATTCTACGAAAACCTTCTAGATAATCCCTTTTCTAATGGATCAGCAAAACCTTTCCTGAACCTCTTCCTCCAAGAATGTATATTTTCCTCATCCTCCTTAAGGTTGATCTCACGTTAGAATTTTACACGTGTCAGCATTACAGATCCATGAAGTTCTATTGTGTTCCACGGTAGCTATCTGCCATTGTAATCAGAAGTGGCCTCTTTGGGTTTGTCCACACCAGAGTTTACTGTGTGTTTGCAGCTGTTTGCATTCCCATTTAATCTGCGTAGTCTAAATGACATTGCCCTCAAACAACTCCATGCTTTCCCCTGTAAATTCAGGTTTACCCGATATGGGAACAATCCAATAAATTAGGGAAAATGGGGCTCCAAACCACTTCACTTGAGGTCAAAGACAATTTGTTTCAGTGTTTTGGGGTGAGTGGATCCGCTGTCACTTTCTGCAAGCCCCCCCCGTTCATTGCCCAATACATCCTCAAGGCTTCCATTTACATACAATGGAACAGGCAGAGTTGGGTGGAATAATGCAGGAACGTTGAGGAAGTGCCACAGAACAACTGATAAAGTAGTTTGGTGGTGTGCCACTCTGCACCTGACACCAGTCTCATGGCAGCTGCTTATTTGGAGGAAGAAGAGGAGAGGTGATTCAGCAGCAAGGTTGGTGCAGTGCAAACACACCAGCAGATGTAGTGGATTGGCTCTGCTGGTGTGTTTGCACAGATCAGGGTTCAGGTGAGTGGTGGCACTCTATCATGCAATCCATCACTGCGCAGCTTTAATGCATCAATGACCTGTTGCTGTATACAGACACAACAGAAAAAAGCAGTCAGGAAACCCCAAGCTAAAACTGTGCCACATTTTGTGAGTATTTTTGCCTTGGAGATTTGTTTGTAGTTTTAATTAATCTTTGCTATATCAAATAATCTCTGTAGGCTTCCAGCTGAAGGGAACTGGTCAAGCTGGAAGTCGGTGCTGCCTCAGGACTTTTTGTTTCCGTGGCAACCGTAACCATGGCTACCAGCATCTGTTTGGAGCTGTAAGGGGCAAGCATGTTCAAGCTCCTGTGCAAATGAAGCGATTCTCTGAACATGGTGTGCAATTTCCTTCTTAGCTAGAAAGCATTTGTCCGAGTCTGTGGACTCCAATTTTAAGCTAGAAGATTCTCCGATAAAAATGAGTGTGGTAAAGAACTATCTATGGGTGGACAAATTAAGGTACTTCATCAAAAGTCATAACTTAGAAATGGGTCCTGGTGTTGTTGTTTTTTAAATTAGCTTTTATTGAAGATTTTTGTGTGTGAAACAAACAAATAAGCAAGCAAAGGTACATATAGCAAACTGAATTCCCCCAACCCAACTCCATAAGTGGCAGAAAAAACTACACTCATTCATTTTCTCACATAAAAAGCCACAAATTCCTGCACCTCTCTTCCTCAGAGTGAGGATGGGGAATTCCTAAAATAGAAATACACATAAAATAGAACTTAAAAGAGAATACACAGCGGGTGGCGCTGTGGTCTAAACCACTGAGCCTCTTGCGCTTGCCGATCAGAAGGTTGGCGGTTTGAATCCCCGCAACAGGGTGAGCTCCCGTTGCTCGGTCCAAGCTCCTGCCAACCTAGCAGTTCGAAAGCATGCCAAAAAGTGCAAGTAGATAAATAGGTACTTCTCTGGCTGGAAGGTAAATGGTGTTTCCGTGTGCTGCTCTTGTTTCGGTGTTCCGTTGCACCAGAAGCTGCTTAGTCATGCTGGCCACATGATCCGGAAAAACTGTCTGCGGACAAATGCCAGCTCCCTTGGCCTGTAAAGCGAGATGAGCGCTGCAACCCCAAAGTCGCCTCAGACTGAACTTAACTATCAGGGGTCCTTTACTTTTACCTTTATATCTCCAACCAAGTGTGCCACATAATCCCATACATCTTAGATTTGGAACGAAACAATGGGTTCACATGGAGATAGAAAAATGGGTCCTGTTGATGGAAACCTGGGTTACTGAAGGAGGAAATTGCTCTCTCCTCCTCCTCCTCCTTCTATGTGTACAACTCTAAAAGGTAAAGGTAAAGGGACTCCTGACCATGAGGTCCAGTCGTGACCGACTCTGGGGTTGCGATGCTCATCTCGCTTTATTGGCCGAGGGAGCTGTCGTACAGCTTCCGGGTTATGTGGCCAGCATGACTAAGCCACGTCTGACGAACCAGAGCAGCACATGGAAACACCGTTTACCTTCCCACTGGAGTGGTACCTGTTTATCTACTTGCACTTTGACATGCTTTCAAATTGCTAGGTTGGTAGGAGCAGAGACTGAGCAATGGGAGCTCACCCCGTCGCGGGGATTCGAACCACCGACCTTCTGATCGGCAAGTCCTAGGCAAGTCTGTGGTTCAACCCACTGCGCCACCCATTTTACACATCTACACATGCTTTAAAGACAATCTTTTCCTAACATCTCCAATGAAAACTACATCTGAAGGAAAAGCCTCTCTCAACTTAGTGCTGTTGTTTTGTTTTTTAGCTGGATGAGACTTTCTATGGGGAGAGGGGAGGAAATGATCGTTCTTGAGTTCTGAATTCTTATCCTTTGCCTTACCTCCTCTTTGATGTCAGCCATAGTGGTCCAGCTTACATGGCATAAAATGCAGCTCAGCCCCCTCCGATCTCTAGAGTAGGCTGCCTAATGAAGCAGACAACAGCAGCCGCTCTTGTGCAAAGCCACAACCCTCGGTCCCCTTGGGTTTTCCTCCTCGCCTGCCTCCCCCCACCCCAACCCCATGGCCTGTGCTCTTTGCTTTGCCCCTCATTAGCAAATGCAAGCTCTAGGCCTGGCAGATTTGCTGAGTGACAGGCTGTCAGACTCGCTCATCTGGATGACCCAGGCTCACTGCCTCTCTGTTGTCATGGGCTATGAAATATACTTGGAGTCGAGAATGGATTTCATGCTCTTTATTCAGCTCATAGTGATGAGGAGGAATGGAAGTTCCCCCAGAATGTCTGCTTTATATACATTACTTACACTATGGGCCCCACGTGATTGGCTAATTCCAGGATTCACCTGTAGGCCAATCAGGTTGCGGATTCACTTCCACCTGGAGCTGGATTGGGTGGCCCCTGTGGACCACTCAAACTGCTGCATTCTGGGTCCTATTGTTCTAGGACCAATCAGACTGCTGCATTCTGAATCCTATTGTTCTAGGACTAATCAGACTGCTGCATTCTGAATCCTATTGTTCTAGGACCAATTAGACGGCTGCCTTTTGGATCCTATTCAACTCAGTACATAATAGGCTACTTCTGCGCTCTGCTCTTAGCTTGAGCGAGAGAGCTTCGTGATACCAGAACCGGCAGGAAAAAGAAGACTCTGGCTGGGATTTCAAAGGCTTGGCACGACACAAGACTCAGACTGCTGGGCTGGTTTGCAGGAAGGAAGGGGCACAAGTTCACGAGGAAATCAAAAGTTGGGGCTTTAGTAACAATAGGACGAATTTATGGCTGCATATGGAGCATGAGAGAAATTCACTAAGAATATTGCTCCACCAGTGCATTCCTGGTGGAATGAGCTACCCTCTCCTCCCTGCTTATGTTGTTCTGGGGGTTCTCCTCTTCCCCAAAAGCCAAATTATGGGGCAAGAGGGGCTTGCAGGGGGAGGAGAGGAGGGAAGCGCCGTTACACCAGCAGAATACTTTGCACAGTTTTTCCACTACGGTAATGGGAATGATTAGTGCAGTCATCTGTTTCTTTCCAGGAAAGTGCTATTTCCATAATCGCAGCCGCCAGGAGGTGGCGTGTTAGACATTTGTATGGAAGTTCCTTGTCACACCCTTTGAGTAGGGGTGTAACAACCCGATTTAACATTTATGCGCTTTAATCCTGGCATCAAGTCGATGAATGGCCTGCCCGTAATGACTCTTGTCCCTTGGAGCTCCCTCACATTGCAGCGCGGAGAGGACTGCTGCGACAGAAACGGGTCCCTTTTTCCATTTCCTCGATGTTTTGGCGTTGAAACTGTCCCATTACGTCTGGGCTTAATTTCATTTTGTGCTCCTATTCATCTGACCTCTCTTGTGTTTTTTAAATCAACAGCCACCTCCACAGATATACGATAAGCAGCTGGATGAAAGAGAACACACAATCGAAGAGTGGAAAGGTAATCTCATTTTTTTCAAAAAGGTACTTCTCTGAATGTCCTTCTCTGTTTCTTCCCTCATTTTTCTGTTGAGGGTCCCATCCCCTTGTTCACTCTGCTGGAAGACACATGTAGGTGGGGCAGGAACTGGTGATGGGTGGAGCCGAAGCCAGTGGGGGGCAGGTCCAGAGCCAAAATTGGGCGGGGTCACCCTTTTATCTCCTTTTGCCACCAAATTTTCTCTTTCTTAAGGGACACGGGTGGCGCTGTGGGTTAAACCACAGAGCCTAGGACTTGCTGATCAGAAGGTCGGCAGTTCGAATCCCCGCGACGGGGTGAGCTCCCGTTGCTTGGTCCCTGCTCCTGACAACCTAGCAGTTCGAAAGCACGTCAAAGAGAAAGTAGATCAATAGGTACCGCTCTGGTGGGAAGGTAAACGGCATTTCCGTGCGCTGCTCTGGTTCGCCAGAAGCGGCTTAGTCATGCTGGCCACATGACCCGGAAGCTGTATGCCGGCTCCCTCAGCCAATAAAGCGAGATGAGCGCCGCAATCCCAGAGTCGGCCACGACTGGACCTAATGGTCAGGGGTCCCTTTACCTTTTTCTCTTTCTTCCTTTTCCTCCCCACCCACCATGCCAAAAAAGTAGGGACAGATTACTCTTGCCAGAGGTCTGGACTTCTGATCACTTGCGGAGGCCTTCCCCTCTCTCCCCCTTCTTCTTTCATGGCTCCATCATCAGATAAATTGGTAAAAATGGATGTGGACTAGTAACTTTCACAGACTCCTTTACAAGGCTGATAATTTACTGAGGTCTTCTATTTGCGCTTTCTTTGAATGGTGCTGGGGGGGGGGAGCTAGCAACTCCTCTCCACCTTTGTAACTGGCTCCGTTGTCTCTTGCAGAATTAATCTACAAGGAAGTAATGAATTCCGAAGAAAAGACTAAAAATGGTGTAGTAAAAGGACAGCCTTCTCCCTCAGGTACTCATTCCCAGTGAATGACCATTTTGTGCTCGCTGCAAGCTCCATCGTACAGTGATGGATTCTCACCAAAGTGTCTTAATCTGCTGCTATTAATTCAGACGTAAGCAGCCACAGCTTTGAGGCTGAACATTACTTTTAGACAATTTGGTACATGGAACTGAAGATGAATTGCATTAATTGAACTCCAGATTCTTATTTTTCTTTTTTTGGTAAAGGCGGCATGAGAGTCTAGGTTACTGTCAGGACTTTGGATGGATGAACACAGTTGTTTCAAGTCTCTATACTGATTCCACCCATCCATCCATTTATCCATCCATCCATCCATTTCTTTATTATGGCCAATGACCAGCATGTTACTGCATCCATAGATAAATCACTTGGGTTGGTGTACTTGTAGCCAGCCAGATCCTTAACCATGATTTAAGGATGAGCTGCTCCCTTTCAACTGCATCTCACCCCAAACTGCAAATTCACCCTGCCAAGAATAACCACGGCTAAAGATTATCTTTGCACTTACCTTAATTGTGATTAATGCCAGTCCTGCTCCAGTTCTGAACCTCCAGTCGGAAATCTGCTTGCCAGCTGAGAAACTAATAAATCTCAGTTTTTGTGCTGCCTGCCTGGGACAGGGGGATTGTCAAAGACCGGATAAGCTGCAGCCCATAGCTGGTGGACTATTAAGTCGCCAGGTTTTTCTGGGCTTACTTAATGGTCGCTAGGTCCCCTTTGAACCAGAGTTTAGGAACCATTGTGAGAACAGGATTCTGGACTAGATGGGCCTTTGGGCTGACCTAGCAGCGCTGTTCTTGTGTTCTTATGAAGCCCACTAAACATTTGCCTCGCCTGACTCCACCTAGGTACAGTCACAGGTGCAAAGCACCCTCCAAACTGTGCAAACAATTGGCAAGGACAAGGCACAAAGAAAATTTGATGATAGGTTGCCAGATTAGCAATGGGCCCGGTGGAGTTTTTCAGTGCCACGCACATTGATTTCAGTTCTGGTGACAGAAAGGCGATTCAACAGATTCCCGCAGAGCAGAAAGTGAAAAGCAAAGCATGCAGGTTTGATTTAAGAGCTTCCTGCATGTGCCCGGCGTCATCTTTCTTCAAGATGGAGTGGGTATCAGAATAAATCATGGCCCACAAGCACATCTGTCACACAGAGCTGTGTGTGTTGGGTGATTTATGTGTAACAATAACAGAGTTTGCTTGCGTGGGGAAGTAATTTGCAAGGACTAATTAAGTATTGGCTTTCATCTAAAATGGATCATCGCCTAAAATGGAGCATCATGGGTTGAGGGTGGGGCCTCTAGACAAGATCGGGGTGGGTGCTGGGGGCTGCAGGGGAAGAAGAGGAAGCCTCACTGAACAAGCGAAAGTCTGTTTGTGATGTTGGAATATCACCCTTTTTTCATTTTATTTCCTCAATCTTGATATATTCCAGTGTTTTCCTTCCATTTACATTTTCATTTTCAGCTCCATGCAATTTGATGGTTTGGGTTCTCGTAAATTTTAAAAGGGATGGGGAAACCAGCTATTTGATGAAGCGATATTTTTTTCTGGGCTACTTTATTTCTCTAATGGGGGTGGGTAGGAGGGAATGTTATCAGTGGAAAACATGAGAATGCTCCATACAGTCAATTAAAATTAAAGATGGTGGGAGCATGGGGCAGTGAAGGAATGATCTACTGGTGCATTGGAGAAGAGTAATACAAGTTTGGATATGCAGCCCATTCCTGCAGCAGTCTGTGCCAACATTGCAAGAAACAGTCACATATCTGTGGTCATAGGCGGCGACTCCATGGGGCTTGAGGGGGCCCGAGCCCCCTCAAAAATTCGTTTGGGGGGCTCCGCCCCCCCAATAATCTCCGGCGCCCCTCCAGCAGAGCGCCATCGCCGCCCCTCCCCCAGCCCAAAATGCACAGGGAGGGGCGGGCTGCATGCCTCCTGCCCTCCCTCCCGAGCAAAAGCTCCACCCAATTTCCTTTGGAGCTGATTAATAGGCGCAGCACGCTCTCCCCTATTCGCTCACGAGGAGGCGGCGCCACTTTATTTGCATATTCATGAGCTTATTTATTATTCATGAGCTTTCCCGGGCCCCCCCAATATTTTTTATAAGTCCGCGTCCCTGTCTGTGGTTCCCTGAGGATTATGGGAGAATTGCAAAAATGTATAATATAAAAGGCACTTGGATTTTTTTCTTAAGGGTTCACTGGTTGTATTAGAAAAATAAACCTATACAAAGGTATAAATCCCAAACAGTGCACAAATACAAAATCTTCTCTCTATGTAATTTAGCTCTTAATCTCAGCCACCATAGAAAATGACAGACCCAGCTCTCACCTGGGAAGCCTCTTCCCTCCCAATCTCTCATCCTTGGAGATCTTCACTTCCCCACCTCTCACTCAAGGTCCTCCCACCAAGTAGCATCCCAGAAGGGGAGATTTCCTGTGGTGCCTCCCCCTAGTGGTGGCTCCACTGACAATCATCCTCTGATAATCATCAGAGGAGAAGCCATACTGAGGCCATGCCTCTGAAAACAACAGGCAGGTTTCTCATGTAAGATTTTGTATTTCTGTCTGGAGGATTCTCAGATACAAAATGGGTAGGCTGTGCAACTTTCAAGAGTGGGGCATGTGCGTTTAAATGTGCATATATTTTTATTTATTTAAAAAGAAACCATCCTGACAATATAGATGTGGGGTTTGCACGGGATCAGTGGTGTAGCATGGGAGCGGTTGCCCCAGGTGCAAAATTGTTAGGGGTGCAAAATTTCAATGCCCGTTGCTGCCTCAATACAGCTGCGTGTCTTCCGTTGCTGGGCTCTGTTGAAAATGGCTTCTCCATGTGAACCAGGAAGTGACCTCTGTTTGACATGGACGCCATTAGGCAGTTGAATGTGCATGCATACTCCATCTGTTTCCCTCCCCCCCCCCCCGCCGTGTGGCCCCAGGCTCTGGCAACCCACGCTATGCCACTGAACACGATTAGCGATTGTTTCCTTCCATTCACACTTCTTTGGATCCTGATCATAATACAGACATACATACATAAATAAATACTGAATTGTGCTGGAGCTGAAGCAACTTCTCTTGTTATCTCTCAAACATTCCCAGGGCTTTCAGGTTGAATCACGCCGGTGTTCATTTTCTTAGCACAGGTGCAGCAGTGAACAGCAGCGAAAGCCTCCCTCCATCCTCATCCGTCAATGACATTTCCTCCATGTCCACAGACCAGACCCTGGCGTCGGACACTGACAGCAGTTTGGAAGCTTCTGCAGGGCCCCTCGGTTGTTGCAGGTGACTAGCCGCCTGCCTGCGAAACCCGACGTTCTTCAGGAGATGATGTAATTTAGGGGAGGGGGGGAAGAATCATTGTGGTCATAAAAGAATTCGATGATGGCAAGGAAGAGAAAAAAAAATTAAAGGAAAAACAAACACACATAATGATTAAATAAAACAAAACCCTTTCAGCCTGCTTCTCTTAAAAGAGTTATGTAAATGCAGCTAAGCTCAAGTGTATATTTAACTTAATAGTTGCTCTGCTTTGGTCTTCTTCCGATGATGCTTACTGCAAAATGAGAAAAAACGGGGGAAAGGAGCCTTTTTCATAAATTTTGCAAAACTTTAATGGCTGCAAAACCAGCAACTGCAACTGTCCTTTTTCACGTTGGCATGACAAGGTGGCCAGAACCCCAACCCTTTATGTGTATACATGTGTGCATATCTAACCCTTTCTGCTTCTGTTTTCAGCAGATGTACAGAAAACTGCACATGTATCTCGGTGTACATACATGCAAATATGCATTTGAGGATATATATGCAGCTGTATGTGTACATGTATCTAAAGAGCAGGAGTCCGTATGTGTGCACACAGCCCGCAAGTAGACAACTGAACCTCCTGGGGGGTTTTTTAAATGCAAATTTCATCTGTAATATAATTCTCATTGTACAGCCTGTTTAGTTGGTCCTTGGGTTAATTTGAATAAGTAGGGGGAAAAGTCAAACCGAAGCTCTCTCAGAATCTTGATGATGTAGAGTCCTATATTTCGGCACTGTTTTTAATAGCGGTTTGTTTGGAGGAATAATAGAGGAAGTTCAATGGGATTGTCCTTGTTAAATGCTGATGGATTTCGAGTTGTTGTTGTTTTTGAATGAATATGTATGTTGAGCTAGGGGAGTTGTCAGGAGAGAGGCCTGTTTGTGTGGATGCAGGATTCTGGACTAGATGATTCCCTTGGAACACCAGGGGCTTCTTGGGCACCATATTTCCAGGAACTTCCACTGCCTTGTGTGACTGCGTTCGTTTTTTAGATAAAGGCTGTCAGAAATGGATCAAACTGGGTTGGCCAGGGTCAAGCAGAGGCTGGCAAGTAGTTCCCTAAATGAGGGGAAGTCAGCTTGTAGAAGTTCTGCTTCTTCATCTGATATGGTCCTGGGCATCTATTAGGCGAGAAAGGTTGTAGACTTCTTCTTTTGTAGTAGAACTCATGCTGATGTTGGGGAGCTGGCTCCTGAATCAAGGCAGAAGTGAAAGATGAATGATATTGAGTGGAGGCAAATAGAACACCTGCGTTTGTTGTTCCCAAACCCTATCATTTATTTGTTCACGATGAAGGACCTCAAGGTGGTCGCAGTCTGGAAGACCTTCACTAGAGAGAGGTTCTCCATAACCAGAACTGTTGCTTATTGGCAGATAGGCTTCTCATTGGGACTGCCTCTCTGTGCATGTAGAATGCTCCAGTTGGAGCGACAAGGCAAGGGAGTCAGATTAAAAGAAAGGGGTGTTTCTAATGTATATTTATTACGTGTATAGCTGTTTAGTGCATCAAAGAAAGGAGGTTTGGAGCAGCACCAACCTAGGCTGTGAACAACTCCAATTCTCTCTTTTTAAAAAAAAAAATGCATCTTAACCATTCCCAACATTAATTGGAAGGACAGTGAATGGCTAGCTGCTTTCAGCTTTACAATTTCCCTCTTTGCTATCCTTTCATTGCAACATATTATCTGAAAATTCCCCAGGCCTACACCAAAAGTGGTTACACAAGCAGTGACCTGACTCACCCCCAACCTCCGCTCCCCCCGGAAATCAGATATACAGATTCTACAGATACTTGTGTGCATGAATGGATGTCAACCATTTTTTTTTATTATTGTTGAGAATCTGAGGTGTCATGTACTACACTATGTTGAAATTTGTCCAGGAGACTAGGAGTCAAAACTTTAGGGATAAACCTCTAAGAGTCAGCCTTGAACACAACTCTTAACATTTATTTTTGGTCAGATGTGAAACCAGCCATTTCTAACATGGTTGAATAGTGTGAAACTAAACTGATTCTTTTTTTTAGTTTTTAAAGCAAGTGCTAATAATGTTTCATGAAGGCAAATAAATAAACAGATGTATAAAAAACCAACAACCCACAGTGGCCACAATCTAAGCCCTTTGAGTGACACCAGCTAGACCAGTCATGGCCAAACTTGGCCATCCAGCTGTTTTGGGACTACAGTTCCCATCATCCCTGACCACTGGTCCTGTTAGCTAGGGATGATAGGAGTTGTAGTCCCAAAACAGCTGGAGGGCAAAGTTTGGCCATACCTGGCCTAGACTGAACCACACATTCTTTCTCTTCTGAAAGGTGGCCATAAACAAATTTAGAAGCATATCCTTCCTGAAATAGTTATGACCAGACAATTTCATTTCCACTTACTAAATAAAGATGTAGGGCAGGTAGAATTTTCCTTAAATAAAAAGGAACGGAACACTTTTCGTTAGTGCAGTATGTATAGCAGCAATAAGCAAAAAGTCACTACTGCAAAAAATAATAATAACTAAATAAAAATAAATAGCAATATAGGGGGCAATCTATCAATTGCTGCTGGCGCATCACAGTTACCACATGCATCTTCCATTGAAATGGAAGCCACAAAGCAGCTTTGATTGATTTCCCGTGTATTCTTTCTGAAAGCCATGAAACGATATCCATGTGCGGCACTAACCTTAACTCAGCCCACATGAAATCCCAATGCACAAGAAATGGCAGTACTTTAATGGGACACAGTAGTGCACTGAGGATGCCACGAAGGCAATAACAGAGAAATGACGCTCTAAGCAATAATGGCAATAATGGCATCTGCTAGCTGTGTATTTTGTTGCCCAGATATAATGGGCAATTTTTTTAAAAAAGCCACTTTCCACTGTCCACTGTTTTGGTGCTGAGACCACAGGTAACAGGGAGCCTTTTGGAACTGAAGACCATTAGCTTGTCAATATCAGAAGCCACAATCCATAACAGCGTTGAAGCATCCAGACTCGCTGGTGATGCTAAGTTACTCAGGGGCGGGGGGCGAAATCCCATCAGAGAGTTTGAGAAAACTCTCCTGAATGCGTGGCTGGGGGATAGAATGGCAGATGAAGTTCCATGTAAGTGCCAAGCCATGTTCATTGGGAAAAGATAAAACGAAAGTCAGTAATCTGCAGCCAGCAAGGAAAGACAGATAACCTTGAGATTATAGAGTGTTTACCGAAAACATCAGTTGACTGTACTGCAGCTTTGAAAAGGGCAGATGTGGTGTTAGGAATTATTAGGCAAGAAGCTGGAAACCAAGCAGATCCTGAAACTGTTACAGAAATCTGTGGCCCACCCTCATTTAGAGGTGTCATTCTGGCCGACTGACACAACAAAAACAATATAATCAGAATATAGAAAAGAATGAGGGGATCTAAAATATTTTCAAGGGCCTTAGGGTGACATGTCTAAAAAGTGGCTTGGCTTAGGGAACAGAAAATGTAGCATGGGCCCGACAGAGACATATAAACCAATTAACACTTTGGAATAAGCATGTAAAGAGAGAAAGTATCTCTTTCTAAATACTGGTGCTTGAGGAAGGTTGTCCGACGGCATCCAGGGAAACTGATTGGCAATGATTCCAACCAAAGAAAAATAAATATTTCACCACACATAACTAACATACACAGGACTGCTTTTTAAAAGGCTTTAAACACAATTCAAGAAAATTGTCCATCACTGTTCATCTGTCTCGTTGCCATTTCAGACATTCTAGTGTATGTAGGTCAGATCAAAAGATGATGAAAGCAAGGGATTGTCTGTTAGCGGGAGTCTGCTGCCTTGCCTTAAATTTAGCTTCTGACATTTTGTCTGTAAGACACAGTTCTGTAAATTTGGTCCTGCCTTTACAAGTGGCAGATGACTGAGCCACCCATAATTCACCCGTTGAAAGATAACAACCCTGTCAGTGCTGTTGTAGCAGGTCCAGCCTGGAAGGGAGGCCGTAAATAGCCCTGTTAATGCAAATATATATATATATATATGGAGTGCTGAGACAAAATGGGAGCTGAGAAATGAATATCCTTCCCATGGCACATCTGCCCTTTGACTTTCAGGCCACACTCTCATATCTGTTCTTCTAAGTCTTGCTGGCCCTGTAACATACCTTCCTCAAGTGCTTTGGCCTGCCTGAATTGCATCTTTGAATTGTGATACTCCATCTTGCTTGGCTGGATGGAGAATGGGGTGGGGTGGAATAGCCTCATGACTTCTGCATGGCTGCAATGTAGCCTTCTTAGCAATGGTAAGAGGCACATATATTGCCATCCCTCCCCCCAATCACCACTAGCACTAACCACTAGGTTTCCTGAAAGGAAATGTGACCCTCAAGCAGAAAAGGGTTCCTCACCCCTGTTCAAAGATGTGGTGCTCTAGAAGATATCCTGATATTTGCATCAAAACCTAAGAGTTGCTCTCTCAGAAGGCAGGGCTAGGCACATTCGATGTATGGCTCATAGCAGCAAGATCTTGAACCTCAGCCAATCAGAAATACGTTTTGCTAGTGTTATTGATATTGTATTTCATTTCCTCAGAATACTCAGGGGTTTCAGCTTTTAGTCAGGTGGCAACCTCCCAATTCATCTTGAACGCTTTAGGTGAAATTTGGCGCAAGACTTAAGCCCACGCAGCCGCCATCCCTCCCCCGTTTTCTCCCTCCAAATATTTAGAAACATTTTAAAAGTTGGTGGGCTGAATAAAATAAAGGTCCAACAGTGGTGCTTGACATCTCCTACAGGGTTTTCGGTTATTGTGCAGGAGGCGTTATTACAGTAAAACAACTTAGTATCACAGAACTGTAGAGTTGGCAGGGACCATGGGGGTTGTCTAGATCAACTCCCTACAATTCAGGAATCCTTTGTCCAACATGGGGGCTTGAACCCACAGCCCTGAGAGTCTCATGCTCTACGACTAAGCTAGACTCAAAGTTGCCTTAATAAGCGTCCACTAAGTATACATTTTTCCCAAGGCTGCTCAACCCAAGAAGCTTTGGTGGCCCTTAATGTCCCACTGAACTCACGTTAAGTGACACATGGGGCCCTACAGCTTTAAACAGCAAACCCTTTTTTTCTGAAATAGTGCAATGCACTTGAGTTCAACTCTTAGCATAGTAAGGGAGGGCAACAAATGCAAACCACCTTGGTATTAGTAAAAGAATTAAATGATTCACGCTGGTTTAGTAAAAAGCTATTTTACTGTAAAAAGTAAACCCAGAAATCAAAACTGAACGCTTTGAGAGGTTCTTGAAAATGTTTGTTTATATTGTCTTTTTTTTTACTGGAAGAAACGTGCATAATTCAATTGACATTGTATTTGAAGTGGATAAGGAAGTTCCTGTACTGAGTTTTGGCTTTACGAAGCCCATTAAAATCCCATCTGAAACAAAAATAATAATAATGTCCCACTGAACTAAAGGAAAACTGAGACTGGGCTATAAGTCAGCTGCCTGCTGCCATCTAAGAGCCGCTTTTCCTTTGCTTCGTTACCAGTGCTCCCCCCCCAAAAAAAAATGTTTAGGGGTACTTTCATTTTCCTACTCATATTGAAATACTGCCCCTCAATGAGGCCAAACTTAGATTCAGAAAACATTTACCCCCGCGTCCCCTCAGAAAAAAAGCACTGTGCATTACCATGTGCTGGTGAAAGCTGCACTATTTAAATTTCAGGCTGTTGTGCAGCTATTAAGGGCGCAAAGCCCCCCCCCCCTGCAAGGAAGAAGGTGGCAAATCTACTCTCAGCTCTCGGGTAAAGCTTTGTAGAAAACAGAGTTCCCACCAGTGGTTTTAGGGCATTTTGAAAACGCAACCACCACGATCTTATTTGTGTATTTCTCACAAACTGCTGGAGACGTGGCATTTACCTGCCCAGGCTTTGTCACTTGAGTATAGGCCCGGCTCTTGCGAAAGTCCACCATCTGTAAAGAAATCTCTGCCTATAAGGCAGCTACGTAGTGCAATGGGTTAGAGTCTCAGACTAGCGTCAAGGAGATACAAGTTCAACTTCTCAAGAATCGCAGTTTTTGACTTTGGGCCAGCCACGAATGCCCAGCCTAAGCTACCTTACCTGCCATTCTGAGAAGAAAATTGGGAGGGCAAAATCATGAGGAAAGGTGGGATATGGATGTAATAAGTACAGCAAACTCTTCCACTAAATATTCATTTTCTATGTGTAGGGAATTTTATCATTTGTATGCAGTGGTTGGGTCTAGTTCACAGACTTGGAGGTGAAAATGATGAAACAGGGCTAAGGAAAGTAGTTTTGGGAACTTCTTGCAGATCTCCAGGTGGTTTGGAGTAGATTTACCAAATAACTTCCCCCTAAATTATACTGCTGGAATGAAGGAATGGGTGGGTGAGGAGTATCATTGTGAGGAGCAACTGTGAGTTCAGGTGCCTTAGAATGCTTTGATTCTAAGTGTTTATCTTTTGCACCTGGCTACAGTTGGAGTCTCTCAGGTTCTGGTAAAAGGAAAGCCAATTCTCCAGGCCTTTGTTCATTCCTGAAATAGAGGACTCTTTCAAGAGGACAAGGGTTCCTATATTTGTCCCAGCTTTGCAGAAGTAGCAGATGAAACTTTTACCACCTCTGCAGCCTCACAGTAAGAAAATTTAACCTGCTTTCTTAGTTCATTGGAATTGTTCTGGAAGCTCTGTTCTCAGGTGTGTCTGACTTGAATGGTCTTGTAGAGAGTGCTACTGGCCAAGTATGTATTTTACAAGGAAGAATTAGATTTTGTATGGCTAGTTTGGGGAAGCATACTGGTTTAGTATGGCTTATTTTTAAGAAAAGGAAGCCGGTAGTTTTGCTAGGTATGTGCAAATGTTTGGTCTCTTGATGGGCTGCTAAATTTAATATGAGTTTGCATTTCTTTTAGCCTGGAAATTGTCCATATAATATTGACTAGAACCCTGCACTGTCAAGAGTCTGATAGTTGAGCTGGTTTGAATTTCAAAGGATGGTTTTAATAAAGGGAGGGTAACACAGTGGACTTGAATTATTTCACAGATGTGTAAGAACTTAATGAGGAAAAAGCTTTTTGGGCCAAGGTTAGGGAAGAAATGTGTCTTTTCCAACTGATGAGCTGGAGAAAAATAGCCCTGCTCATATGATATACTAGATCTCATTTTCTTATAAAAAGAATGCTTGGCTCATGGGCTGTGTTATTCAAACTTCATTTCTGTTCAGAAATGAAAAATGGGAGCCTGTAGTCAATGGTCCATCTACTTTAGGAATAGCTTCTGTAAAGTCAATAACTCCAAAGAGCTGCACAGATTGAGGCTTAACTAGTTTCTGGAGCGCTGCCTTAAACGGGAGAACTTTGATTTGAAACAGCTTATTCCCATCTTATATAATTATTAGCAATTTAAGGCACCTTTTATATGTTGAAAGTAATAGTCTGAGCTCAGCAGACCCTGTGAGATTGGTGGCGAGATTCTTAATTTAAAGAACGGTGAGAATGTGCTTGTCTAAAGACCAAACTAGACATGACTGTAATTGCATGATTAGATTTAACGTGCCTGGTTTGAGAATTTTTAAATAGCAGCCAGGGTGGTGGGAAATAGGGAGGGGGGGGTGAATTTGGCACTGTGTCAAATTCAGGGGGTTAACCCTATCTGCCTGTGTAGCAGTCCCAATGAAGACGACACACACGGAATCTGCTCTCTTCCCCCTTGTTTCTTTGCAATTAAAGAATTACTTTCATATCTTATTTGGGTGGCATTTGTGGGGAGAAGAATCCCCCTCCCCAGATTTTTGTGATCTTCAGTGGCCAAGAGAAATTTCTACATGGCATATGTGCATATGGCAGAGAGTTGTCTCAGTCCCCCCCCTTTCTTTTGGGGGTTTCTTTTTCATTGTTAAAAGTTTTGCCATTGCTTGAAGATCTGGCGCACTGTTCCCAGGGGGACAATTCTTTGTTACTGTTTCTAAAACGTTTGCCCCCCACTCCCGCCCCTTCATACATGTTATGGTAAGTCCCCTGGCAATTTCTCCAATTCACCCAGAACCCTCCACCCCAGTTTCACAGGAGACAAATGACTCTGTAAAAGAGTATGTGTGTTGGCATGGGGGGGGACAGACGGACAACTTTTAGCCAAGTCTTCTTCGATTAAGCTTTCATGGCTCTAAAATATTTTCAATTTATGTACCCTGGTTTGTGGATTGGGTTTCCCATCTTGAAAAGAATAGGGAAGGGGGTAAAATTGCCTTGAGAAGGAATATTATAAATCAAAAGACACATTGAGACAACCTCTGAAGAAAAGGAGAGTCAAAATATCCAAAGGTGTTCCTTCTAATAATTTCAAAATTTAGGGCATTTTTATGTGACACCCCTTTACTCCCAAGTTGATCATTTGTGCTGGTGTTTTTAATGCAAAGTAGGGCAGGGGCACGAGCTAGTTATTAAACCCATGTCCATTCAAGCAAATGCAAGACTTAATTTCGATTTCAGGCGTGGGAAATGCAAAAAGCGAGTTTTGTGTTTTGGAGTAGCAAATTACTCTTTCTTTCCATCCCTTTAAAAAATCCATTTGCCCACCCTTTAATTCCTGGATTGACATTACAGTTTCGTCTTGGCATTGCTTTGGGACTATAATTAGGAAACAGGGACACCTCCCCACACCCCCAAAAAATTCCGGCTGTGGTTGTATACAATAACATGTTGCGTGTGACTGGTAGTCCAAGAGAGAGTGCAGGCATGTGCACTGCAGTGCGTACACTCATAAAATATACAGCTGCGTTCTGTCAATGTGCATGGATATCTCCTACTGGATTGGGGTGTACGAATTTTGTAAGGATAGTCCTTTATCCCTGAAACAGTCAATGGATGCTTTCCCAAGGTGAATATCAGCAATCCAGTATAGACGCAGGTAGCCCTGCTGGGCAAATGTGCCATCTTTTGTAACCCTGTCTTGAGTCTTCCAACCCTTGACTCTTGAGTCTTAAAATGTGCTTTAGCATAATGAAACTCAAACAAAGAACAAATGACCTGCATTGTCAAGGCTTGGTTCTCAGCATCTTCAGATAATAGCAGGAGCTGGCCTGAGTTCCTAGACAACAGCTAGTCAGAGTAGGTCTCCCTGAAGCAGACAGATAACCCGGCTCAGTTTAAGGCAGCTCTCTGATACTGGCTTCAGTGGAACTAGACGGCCTTTGGACAACTTTTAAAAATTGTCCCTGAGAAAACGAGATTCACTAAATGCAACAAATCGGTTGCTTTTGGTTGAGCAGGGCTGTACATTTCTCCTACATAGTAAGAGTCAGAGTATGTAAATATCCATACTGATTTTTCTCCCTCTCTCTTCGTAACTTGTCTGTAACAATCCATCACTCTGTCTGTATTTCTCAAAGACCACTGTACACCTCCATATGTTTCCTCCAATCGTTTCCTCTGTTGGCATTCGGCCAATAAGGAAAAGGGTCGGGGGCTTCAATATGTATATAGAGAATTATGTATATTTAGTAAATTTGAGTAAGTGGGACTTACGGCCAGTAATACATTTTGCAACAACGGTACCAGGATCTTCCCAACCCAACTAGCGAAACCAAACTGTTCACCTTGCCATGTCCATCCTGTAATAAGACCTAAGTTGCACCCGCCTGTAGTTCTGCATGATTGGACTTCCAAATATAATTCACAATGACCAGGAGTGTAACTTCTCAGTGTTGATAAAAGTAGTTTTTATATCTCTATATATATGCGGAGAAAAAACACACACTAAACAAAGAGCCACTGTTCAGCATCAAGAATGGAAGAGGAAGAAGTGTCCAACTCCATTGCAAGGTCTTAGTTTTGAACGTGATAAGTAAACAACCTGTGAGTATGGATGAACTGACAAATGTGACATTTGATAAGGAAATGAACCTCATTACATTTTGTTTACTTCTTCAGTCGTTTTTACTTTCTACCTTTCATTGTTTCCTGTGGGTGGTACGAGGGGGAACGGAGGGGTCTTGGCTTTGTTCATCAACCTTTTGTGGATCAATGTTGAGTCGATGCATTCTGACTTCTGTTTGTTTTGAGTTATTAAAAGCAGAAGGGAATCTATTTTCCCCTTTGTGCCAAAAAAAGAAAAAAAAACACCTTTTGGAGTTCTTGTCTAAATACTTTGTCTCGTTTTGATTCTTTGGGGTCATGTTCTGTTCACAGGTTTAAATATACACAATTTTCGATAGAGATTCAAATGTATAGCTTTTCCAACAAATCTGTGGAGCACAGGGGAGCATCACTTTTGGCCACACAACAACAACAACAATAATAATAGAATTTTATTATAATAAATATTTCTACCCTGCCCATCTGACTGGGTTGCCCCAGCAACCCTGGACTGCTTCTGAAATATATAGAAACATAATAAAACATTAAACATTAACACACACACACACACACACACACACAGAGAGAGAGAGAGAGAGAGAGAGAGAGAGAGAGAGAGAGAGAGAGATTGACTTACAACATAAAAAAATTAAGTAAAATGAAAAAACTACACATATAAATATAAAATACAAAGTACAGCAGCAGACACAGAAGCACAGCAACAAAGAAAGCAGCAATAAAACCAGAGAAACCAACCATCACTTTAAACCAAACAACTGATGAAACAAAATGATTTTCAACGAGTGTTGTAATAGCTGTAGCATGGTGAAGGAGTTCTGTGGCCTAGGCCAGCTTTCCCAAATATGGTTCCCTGTATATGTTTTGCACTCCAACTCTGGTCATCCCTGATAATTGTCCATGCTGGCTGGAACTGATGAGAGTTGGAGTCCAAAACATCTGGAGGACATCAAATTGAGGAAGCCTAGGCACTGCAATGAAGAAAAGAAGTCCTAGCTCATATATTACTGTCAGTCATTCTTCTGGTGGTGATGGGACATGGAGGAGAGCCTCCACAGAAGCTAACTCATTCACAGTAGGAGGCAGATGTTTAGATATTCTGGTTTCAAAATGTATGGGTCCCTAAAAGTTATAAACAGCATTACAGTGGTACCTCGGGTTACATATGCTTCAGGTTACAGACTCCACTAACCCAGAAATATTACCTCGGGTTAAGAGCTTTATCTTCAGAAGGAGAACAGAAATCACACGGTGGCGGCGTGGCAGCAGCAGGAGGCCCCATTAGCTAAAGTGGTGCTTCAGGTTAAGAACAGTTTCAGGTTAAGAACGGACCTCCAGAACAAATTAAGTACTTAACCTGAGGTACCACTGTATGAGTGTTAAATGAACTGGGAATAATACAACACATGACTCTTAATAGCAGTTGCCGCAGCATTCTGTACCCGCTTCAATTTTTACACATTTTTCAACGAGCATTATGGTAGTCCGACCTGGATGTGTGATAATGACCAGATCTGCCTTCTCCATGGAAAGGCACAGGTGGTTCACCAAAAGAAGTTGTGGATAAATGCTCCCAGCCACAATCTAATCACACAGGAGCAAAGCCAGACTTCAGGCTGTGGGGCTTATCCTTCAGTGGCAGTGCACCCCTGTCCAAAACTGTCCCCCTTTGCAGTGAGGCAAGGCTGCGGCTCAATGCATTACAAGTTGTGGCTCAAGCTGGGTGCAAAGTGAGGCAAGGTTCAGTCTGGTTTCAAGGTTCAGGCTGCGCTATAGGAACACAGAGCTCTGGTGCTTCTTTTCAGCAATAAATATACTGAGACACAGCCCTATATCGTGACAGCTGCTGTATTCCAGCTGTTAGTCCTGCCCACACTAGAATGTGCTTTTTCAGGTAGAGCTCCAACCAGTTCTTCTGGTCTCCTATTGCAACAAAGCAGGGTCGCCTTTGGTCTTCTGCATTGGAACACAGTGATGGTTGTGCCACTTCCTCAGCCCAGAGGACCACCAGCACCACAGGCTCCTCTGCTGGAAGCATATTTAGAGCTGGCTCTACAGATTCCTTGACTTCATCCCCTAGAGAAGGGGAGCCTAACTCTAGGATCATGAGAAAAACAAGCTAGATGCCCAACCCTCAACCAACTTCCCTATTGGCCAAAATCATGGAAGTTGGCTGCACAAGAAACTACTCTAGATTGAAGTACCAATCTTACCACTTGACAAGGCAGAACAGGCAGTAGAGTGTGGTCCATTCATTCTAACTGGGCACTGCTCTGCCAACCTTAGTCTGCCCTCACCCAAGTCTACCCCAAACCCTGCCTGCCATTGTACTTACAACCAGTCATGCCAAACACTGCACAGAGCTCAGGAGCACAGGCAGAGATGGCAGCTGCCTAAGGACTAAGAGAGTCAGTGTGGTGTGGTGGTTAAGAGCGGTAGACTTGTAATCTGGTGAACCGGGTTCGCATCTCTGCTCCTCCACATGCAGCTGCTGGATGACCCTGGGCTAGTCACACTTCTTTGAAGTCTCTCAGCCCCACTCACCTCACAGAGTGTTTGTTGTGGGGGAGGAAGGGAAAGGAGAATGTTAGCCGCTTTGAGACTCCTTCGGGTAGTGATAAAGCGGGATATCAAATCCAAACTCCTCCTCCTCCTCCTCCTCCTCCTCCTCCTCCTCCTCCTCCTCTACCTGCTACTGTTGGTCTCCTTGCCTTTTGCCCTACCAATCCCATTGGGCACCAGTCACAAAACATGTTGTATAGAGTTGTCTGAAGGTGGTAAGCTTTGTGTAGAGATGAACGGGGCTGTGCTTGCAAGAAGTGATTGAGCTGTTCAGTACTCTGGTCTAGTGCTGCAAGCCTAAGCACATAGCCGCAGTACCATGGATGGCGATGATCCTGTTAAGCTGTTGCACACTACTAATCCCATCTTGGCTCAGCCCAGATCTCCCTGTAGGGTGAGAGGGAACAAAGCTTAGGAATAGTAACGGGAGAAGGGAGGGAGCTCAGCTGCTTGGATGTTCCTATAGCTACATGCTTACATACCGATAGGCCTCCTAATGGTGCATCCTAAACCAAGCAGTGTAATTCCTGGATGAAGGATGCAAGAGTCATGACTTAGGTTTCCAGGCCCCTTTCACAATATTATGGGCTCATAGCTCATGCCTGACACGAGCACTTGCTTCGTAACACTAGTTTCTTATAGCTAAACAGAGCAGAAAATGCTAACCTTGTTTTTCCGGCAAAATCGTTCATGACACACAGTGACACTCTGCGGTGTATTGGATATTCTGTATACAATATGGGCTTCTGGTCATGAAACTTGGGGAGAGAAGTGAACTGAACCTGCTATGTGCTGATGGATTGCAAAGCAAGGGCTTGTACTGGGCCACAGTGTAAAGCTGGTCTGTTGCGTATGACTTTTGGACTGAGTTTCCCATGCGTGGTTTCAACTATGCCTCCAGAGACACATCAGATGGGGCTTCCTTTGAGAGGTCAGAAACAGTCACAGACCTCATTCCACCAGAGAAATGTCACAAGAGAAAGGGTTAACTTCAGCCCCCAAGCTAATGGGTCCCTGATTAAATATAGGTCTCCTTGCCACTGTTTCGGGGCAAAATATACGATCACAGCTCTCACACGTAGGGCTGGCTGCAGGTTTGAGGGTTCCCGTGGCAACTTCCTATCTGGTGCCCCCTTCTCCGATATTAGTGGGCCCTCTGGTAAAAGTAAAGGGACCCCTGACCATTAGGTCCAGTTGTGACCGACTCTGGATTGCGGCGCTCATCTCGC